ATAGAACACTAAACCCAAAAAAAACGGAGTACACATTTTTCTCAAGCGCACACGGATCATTCTCCAGGATCGATCACATACTGGGGCACAAGACAAACATCAACAGATACACCAAGATTGAAATCATACCAACCATCTTTTCTGACCACGAAGGCATCAAACTAGAAATAAATCATAAAAAGAAGGCAAGGAACTATCCTACCTCATGGAGATTAAAAGCCACACTACTGGAAGACCACTGGACTAACGAGGAGATCAAAGAAGAAATTAAAAAATTCTTTGAATTGAATGACAAGGAGGACACCAATATCCTAAATGTATGGGATGCAGCAAAAGCAGTAATAAGAGGAAAATATATAGCAATAGAAGCTCACATCAAAAAACAAGAAAGAACTCAAAGAAACAACCTAATCTCGAAGCTCAAAGATCTAGAAAAAGAACAACAAAAAAACCCCAGAACCAGTAGAAGAAAAGAAATAATAAAAACCAAAGCAGAAATAAATGAAATTGAAACTAAAAAAACAATCCAAAAGATCAATGAAACCAAGAGCTGGTTCTTTGAAAAAATAAATAAAATAGACAAACCCCTAGCCAGGCTCACAAAGGAAAAAAGGGAGAAAGCACAAATACACAGAATCATAAATGAAAGAGGAGAAATCACAACGGACACAGCAGAAATCAAAAGAATAATCAGTAACTACTATGAACAGTTATATGGAAACAAGTTCAACAATCTAGAGGAGATGGACAAATTCCTACAACTCTACAATCACCCAAAGCTAGATAAAGAAGAAATAGAACACCTAAACAGACCAATTACAATTAGTGAAATTGAAATGGTAATCAAAAACCTCCCCAAAAACAAAAGCCCAGGACCTGATGGATTTACAAATGAATTCTACCAAACATTCAGAGACGAATTAGTGCCTATCCTTCACAAACTCTTCCAAAAAATTGAGAAGGAAGGGACAATACCAAACACGTTCTATGAAGCCAATATTACACTAATACCAAAACCGAATAAGGACAACACAAAAAAGGAAAACTATAGGCCAATCTCCCTAATGAACACTGATGCAAAAATCCTCAATAAAATTTTAGCTATCAGAATCCAACAATGTATCCATAAGATAATTCACCACGACCAAGTTGGATTCATTCCAGGGGCACAAGGATGGTTTAACATCCGAAAATCAATCAACGTTATCCAACACATCAACAAAAAGAAATATAAAAACCATATGATAATATCAATAGATGCTGAGAAAGCTTTCGACAAAGTGCAACACCCATTCATGATAAAAGCCCTTGAAATTCTTGGGATACAAGGAACATACCTCAACATCATAAAGGCCATCTATGACAAGCCAACAGCCAGTATCATTCTCAATGGTGAAAAGCTGAAAGCAATTCCATTAAGATCTGGAACAAGACAAGGATGTCCACTCTCACCACTGCTTTTCAATATAATACTGGAAGTCCTAGCCAGAGCAATAAGACAAGAGAAAGACATCCAAGGAATCCAAATAGGAAAAGAAGAAGTCAAACTATCACTATTTGCGGATGATATGATAATATACATAGAGAACCCCAAAATCTCCACAGAAAAACTAATTCAACTCATCAATCAATTCAGTAAAGTGGCAGGATACAAAATCAACACGCAAAAGTCAGTAGCCTTCCTATACACAAACAATAAATCTGAAGAAGAAGAAATCAAAAAAACCACCCCTTTTATTATCGAAACAAAAAAATCAAATATTTGGGAATAAATCTAACAAAAGAGGTAAAGGACCTATACAAAGAAAACTATAAAACACTGTTAAAAGAAATAGAAGAAGACACAAAGAAATGGAAAGACATCCCCTGCTCATGGATTGGAAGAATAAACATTATTAAAATGGCCATCCTTCCAAAAGCAATATACAGATTCAATGCTATTCCAATCAAAATCTCAATGGCATTCTTCAAAGAAATAGAACAATTATTGATGAAATTCATATGGAATCACCAAAAACCCCGAATAGCCAAAGCTCTCCTGAAAAAAAAAGAAGGAAATGGAGGCATCACACTCCCAGACTTCAAACTATACTACAAAGCCATAATCATCAAAACTGCATGGTATTGGAACAAGAACAGACATACAGACCAATGGAATCGAATAGAAAATCCAGAAATAAACCCACAGATTTATGGTCAACTAATCTTTGACAAAGGAGCAAAGACTATGCATTGGAGCAAAGAAAGTTTGTTCAATAAATGGTGCTGGGAAAACTGGGTCGCTACATGCAAAAGAATGAAGCTTGACCACTACCTCACACCATACACAAAAATCAACTCAAAATGGATTAAAGAACTAGACATAAGACCTGAAACCATAAAATACATAGAAGGAAATATAGGCGAAACACTACGGGATTTGCACATCAAAGACATCTTTACAGACACATCACCCAAAGCAGTGATAGTGAAGAGAAAGATAAACAGCTGGGACTACATCAAATTAAAGAGCTTCTGCACAGCAAAAGAGACAATAACAAAAACAAAGAGAAACCCCACCAACTGGGAGAACATTTTTGCACCCAACACTAATGATAAAGGACTGATCACAAAAATCTGCAAAGAGCTGATGAGACTCAGCAACAACAAAGAAAATAATCCAGTCAAAAAATGGGCAGAAGAGCTAAAAAGAAACTTCTCTGAAGAGGAAATGCAAATGGCCAACAGACATATGAAAAAATGTTCAACATCACTTGTAATCAGGGAAATGCAAATCAAAACTACCATGAGATACCATCTCACACCAGTGAGAATGGCACATATTAAAAAAACTAGCAACAACAAATGTTGGCGAGGATGTGGAGAAAAAGGAACTCTTGTGCACTGTTGGTGGGAGTGCAAACTGGTCCAACCACTATGGAGAGCTGTGTGGAGATTTCTGGACCTACTAAACATAGAGCTTCCATATGATCCAGCTATTCCACTCCTAGGTATTTACCCAAAGGACACAGAAACATCAATTCCAAAGAGCACCTGCACTCCTATGTTTATAGCAGCACTGTTTACAATAGCTAAGCTTTGGAAACAACCCAAATGCCCAAAAATAGATGACTGGATCAAGAAGATGTGGTACATATATACCATGGAATATTACTCAGCATTCAAAAAAGATAAACACATGCAATTTGCAGCAACATGGATGGCGCTGGAAGGGATCATGCTCAGCGAAATAAGCCAAAAAGAAAAAGAAAAATACCGGATGGTCTCACTCATAGCAGGAATCTAGAAAACTTAAATAAGGGACCAGGAAAATGAATATAAGAAAGTGAAAATCAAAATCAACAAAAAAACTATGAACCAGAGACACTTTTTGGGGGGTGGGGGGCGGGAGGGGAAGGATTGGGGTCAGAATGGGGCGTTTGCAATTGTATGGGGGAATATAAAAATAAAATTTAATATTTAAAAAAAAAAAAAAAAAACAAAGTACTATACACACAAAAAAGTTTACATTATTTTATATATTTAAATAGGTAAAATGCTTAATAAAACCAACTAATATTTTATATTTACTTATAAATGACATACCTCTTGTACTACTACCCTATGAAAGTTTAGCAAAATTTGTTCTTGTTTTAGGTAAGAGTAAGTAAAATTTAGAAATTTCAATGTTTCTATATATCACAAAAAGGGAAATTTTCATAGTGAGTGATAAGGACGTATTATTGTAATAATAGGTAGTTCTTACTAAGAGTATACCATGTGCCAGGCATTGACCCATTGCTTTGTGTGTTTAATGTAATAATTTTCTGGGAGTTGATACTTATCACTGTATCTCCATTTTATAGTTTTAGAAACGAGGCACAGAGAAATTAAGCACCAAGATCACATAGAAAATTAAGCCAAAAGTCATATTTAAATGCAGGCAGTTTAGTTCCAGAGATAGTACTTTTTAACCATTACACATTATTACATATTGCTTATACTAGATGTGAAGTCTCTTTATTAAGAGTTAGGTAAATGGAAGAGGGACTCATCGTGAACAGTTAACGAGGAGGGAGATAAATATATACTGGCCTAGGGTAAGCATTAAGAAAATATCTTATGAAGAGTTTGAGAAAAATCCATGTATAGAATATATTAAATCATCTGTCTAATGTACCAGAAACAACTTCCAGGCCAACAAATGGGGAGACATATGGCAGATCAGGAGCTTACTTCCTTAGAATGCAAAGAACTTTTACAAAAAAATTAGAAGAGGGTTATTAGTCCAACAAATACAGAAATAAGAAAACATAGATAGGCAAGCAAAGATATACTATACAGACTAAAAGATATGAAAAGATATTTGGAATGCAGTTTTAAAGTGTGCTTAGTTACATTTAATTATGGTAAATAGTATAGGGAGTTAGCGGACTAACTGTGTAGAACAGGCAAGTTGGCTGCTGACAGATGTGCTTGGAAGCTATGGTTTGAAGCTAGGATTCCAGGAGAGACTTAAGGCCTCCAAAAATTATCTAAGTGATGATTTTCCCAAGGGCATTTTGTAGCTGGTATATTTGTTGATGCATCAATAAGAAGTTATTTCATTACATACACTGGTTGCCTTATGGCATTGATTCACCTTGGAACCTCTATTGAGAAGGCCTGGCCATTAGGATTGGAAATGAAAACAGTGCATTCAAGAGACTTATCAGCAAAAACCCAGAGAGAATTCTGAACAATTGTGTGATAGGATAAAGGAAAAAGATTAAGGGACCAAATTAAGTCTGAAAATCAGTTGTGGTCAATGTTCATTCTTATTAAAGGTTAATTTTCAGGAATTTTCCCAGGTTTTTGCTAATGCAATTTAGATATCCACATGCAGGTATTTATTAAGTTATGCATAAAAATGTCAGCATTTAAACATTTATTTCACTAAATAAAAATTCATGATGTTACAAGAAAATCATTAGTCTCTATCTTGCTTTTTATAATCCTAAGTATATATTTTTTATTTTCAGGGAACCTTTTATTATTTTATCAGGAGGTTTGTCATATGATACTGTAGGAAGAAGACCTTGCTTAACAGTTATGCATGGGAAAAGTACTGCTGTGCTAGAAATGGACTATTCAATTGTTGATTTCCTAACGTTATGTGAAACACCATACCCAAATGGTAAGCTCTGCACCTTAAAGACTTGTTCTCTACAGATAACTGTTACTCAGTATGAAGACCTATGATATCTAAGTATTTTCCTCATCCTGTTGTGTCAGGTCTTCTGGAGGAGAGGTGCATCTTCATAACTTTGGAGACTTTATTTAAAAGTTAATTTTGATGAATAAGCTGTATCTGTGTACTATTACATATTAGTAGTAAATACCTTTGAAATATTTTAAAGTTCTGTGAAATACTTGGTATTTGTCAGCCTTCTCCAGAGAAAGAGAGTCGGGGTGGAGGGGGTAGATAATTATTTTAGGAAATGGCTCACTCAGTTTGGAAGCTGATAATTCTCAAACTTATAGATAAGGCCTGCAGGCAGAATATTCTGGAAAGAGTTGATGTGGTAGTCTTGAGTGGATTTTGCAGCCTGGCAACTCACAAGTTTCTACACTTCAGGCTGAGGCAGAATTACTTCTTTTTCAGGAAACCTGGGGCTTTGCTCCTCAGGCCTATACCTGATTGGATGAAGTCCACAATATTATGCAGGACAATCTGTTTCACTACTGATTCACTTATTATTCACATCTAAAATATACCTTCGTAGCAGCATCTAAGCTGATGTTTAACCAAACAACTGGACACCAGTAGCAAAGAAAAGTTGACACATAAAGTTAACCACCACAACTATCGGGTATTATTTTAAGAGGAATTTAAATCCAGACCTTTTTTATTTCATTTGAAGCCCATTTAGACATAAAGATATAATACATTTTATAATTAAAAGGAACATATAAAATAACCCAAAAAAGTTTATAATATTACAGTAATACTCCATTGGGTTCTTAAGAGAGCCAATAATGAGAATTGTTTTTATGTGTATTCAGATTTAAATGTTGAGTTTTTGTCCTGTTTGCCTTAGAATTTGTAATACTATCAATGTTACTGTTAACTTTTTCTTGTTCACCATTACAAAACTGAAATAATTTTGTATGGTTTATTATGTACATGTATCTCATTTGAAACATACTATTTGTAAGTTGTATGAAATACAAGATCAAAATTTTAACGTGTGAGGGATGGAGCAAAATTCAATAAAAGGCATGCAAGAAATGTTTGTTATTTAACTTGCTGTTCTCTTCCATATTTAAAACTACTGTTCATGCATTGTTTTGCTATTTCAGACTTTCAAGAACCATATGCTGTGGTTGTTCTTCTAGAAAAGGATTTAGTACTTATAGACCTTGCACAAAATGGGTAAGAAATAAAATTTGGTGAGCGACTATATAAGTATGTGATAAAAAGTTTCCTTTTACTTTGTTTGTCTGTTTCTTTCCTTTGAAAATGCTGTATTTATATCCATAACCTGTAACTCTTTTGAGAGCTCCAGAAACATTTCTAATTACCTGCCTGCCAGATTTCTTTACTATGTTGTTGATCATATAGATCAACATTTTTTTAAGTTAAAATTTGCTGAATTTCTGAAATTTCTTATGATTCAACCAAACACTTGGATATATTGTGGGCACACAAAATCATGTCCGAAATTGATCACTTCACGGTGACCTCCAGATAAGCTCTTGCTGTCCTCCACCCATACCAACTGTTGTGTTATGAGTACCATTGCCTGCACCAGTCTTGTTCCTTTCCTCTTTAAACCTCTACGGTTCTCTCTTGTGTCTTATTTAGAAATACCTTCTCAGTTGGCTATTTTGAACAGTATTGAAAGTTTGGGTGCGTTTCCAACCTGATGTCTCACTCTCTTCCCACAGGTGCTTTATTCTCTAGAAAAACTGAACTCTATGTTAAACGAGCATTACACTTCCAGGGCTTTCTTATGGCTTCGAACAAGGAAAACAATCCACTGCCATCAAGAATCCACATAACTTTAAGAGAGAGCCTTTTCCTTTTTCAGCATTTCCTATTCTCTCTTCACCAGCTATCCTATCTGTAAATTCCTACCAACTCCTTTGCAGAGCACACACACACGCACGCACGCACGCACGCACGCACGCACGCACACACCTTCTTCCCCAGGAGATACTTGGCAGTGGCTGTGCAGATGTGTTTTTTAATGAGGGAAGCTTGCTGCTGGCATCTAGTGGCAGACAACAGGGATGCTGCTAAGCATTGATAGTATACATAGATCCATTTCCAAACAGAATGATCTGGTCTAAGATGTGAATGGTACTGAGAATGGGAAAGCCTAAAGTATTAGGTGAACAGTACTAGTTGCCTTATTTTAAGGTATTCCTAAATTCATATCAACTTAGTATATATTACCTGTCACAATAGTTTTTTTTTTCTTTTTTAGAATAATATGGTCATTATGAAAGAAAGATATTTAAAAACATTATTTCTACATGCAAGTCCTAGAAAAATTTGTTCTTAATATTATTTTCTTTTAATTTTTTCCTTAGGTAAATTTTTAAATAATGACACTTTTACACATGGTCTGGACTGAGATACATACTTAAGACAGAGAAAATATTTTACAAGTTATCTTTGACTCAGCATTTTGTTTAGCAAATGTATCACTTAAATGTGTAGTAATAATGGAATTACTGAGCTAAGGAAATACCTGTTTTAAAGTGCAAAAAGTTGCCTGGTGTTTTTGTAATGCATGTTTCGTTTGTGTTTTGCTTCCTGGCTTTTATGTGCTTGAAAAGGCAGTGGGTGGTGACAGCTGGGTTCAGTCTGAAGTCTGGAAACGGCTTTTCTAAAAGTCTTCTCTGATTTTCAATTATTGCAGTTCTAGACTTAATCTGTGCATCTAATATTTGCATAGTTGACACTTTGATCTGTTCAGATGTTTTTAGGCAGTTTCTGCGTTTCCGTACATTTTTACGTAACCATTCCCAATTCTAAAGACTTTAAATCAGAAAAGAAATCTCATTGCATATTTATTGAAGATTTAATTTTATGGATTCGAAGTCTTTTTGTGTTTTATTTAATAAAATAATTTCATAGCTGGAAAACATGTTAAGAATTTTGTGTACATAATCACTAAAATAAGCATTTCTAGATTAACTAATGTAACTAGAGATTACTTCATGGAGCAAAAAGGAAGAATTTTGATAATGATTTATAGGTAAAAGGATGAAATATTTATTAAATGAGAACTTTATAGCTTAATGGTAAAGACTTTAGGTCAAATTGTTATTGGTTGCTAGCTGGTATGCTTTTGGCAAATTACTCTCTAAGCCATTGTTCTTCACTAAATTGGTTACATCATAAGTTTGGTGCAAGAAGTAAATGAGATAAAGAAATATATATAATACTTAGTCTAAGCGGCTCATGGTGTGTAGTTTTAATTGAAGCTTTTCTATTTACTATTCTAATTGAACAACTTTCATTATAAAACATGCCATTTTAAACATTTGCATAAATTAATATGTGGTTTAATATGTATAATTTCTAAAATTCTGCAATGTAGAATATTGTGTCCTTAAAGAACATACTGTCCTAAAATATAAATTTAGGTAAAATATTACATAGACCTTTAAAGAATATTAACTTTGTACTATTCAAAAATTAAATTTTTCTCATTCCAAGGCTGTAAATTATTTTCATTATTATTTTAATCATAGTTTATAATTCATTAAATTAATATTTTTTCCTTTTGTTAAAGATATCCTATATTTGAAAATCCCTATCCTTTGAGTATACATGAGTCCCCTGTTACATGTTGCGAATATTTTGCTGACTGTCCTGTGGACCTCATTCCTGCACTTTATTCTGTTGGAGCAAGACAGAAACGTCAAGGTTACAGCAAAAAGGTATTGAACATGAGTTTTAGTATTTAATGTTGAATTTTAGAATTTCATTTTGATTTCGTTAGAGTGTTTGATAATGATACCTTTTCTAGAGAAAGTACGTAGAAAATCCTTTTTTGAGGGGCCTCCCCTGTGGCGCAGTGGTTGAGCGCTGGGTTGCAAAGCTGCCCACAGCCTCTGCAGTGCCAGTTCAATCCCCGGCCGCCAGGTGAGGGTCCCACATGGCGGGCAGACCTCTCCTGCCGCCTGCTGCTCCCTTCAACAGTGTACTTTGTCAGTCTGCCTGTTCTGCTCTCTGCTCTGTCTCTGGTGAATTCTCTTACCCTCCCGCGCTTCTGACTGTGCCCAGTGCTTGAATGAATGAATAAATAAAAAATTAATTAATTAATTAATTAAGAAAATCCTTTTTTGGAGCCAAATATGTTGTTTATTATTGTGATACGTATGTACGTAGACACACATGTACGTATATATACATATATACACACATGCACACATGTAGTATGACTAAAATTTGTATATGATTTATACAAATCATATTCGTCTTTTCTTACAGGAATGGCCCATCAATGGAGGTAATTGGGGCTTGGGTGCACAGAGTTATCCAGAAATAATTATTACAGGGTAAGTAAAAGTCTGTTTTCACTGAATAAATAAGCTAGTATGATTACGATTACGTGAACATTAATTAATTGTGTAGATAATGCTTTCCTTTATGCTCTTACATAATGAGAAGTAAGTTTTTGTGAAGAGCCTGCCAATTTACTGCATTTTTTTCCCTTTTTTTGTCATTTTCTTCCTATCTTTTAAGATATCAATATATTTCAGTGAAAGGAAGAAAAAGTTTAGTTTTTCTTTTTTTCACCTTCATAATATTCTCAACTTGTTTGCTTTTCATAGACATGCTGATGGGTCAGTTAAGTTCTGGGATGCTTCTGCAAGTAAGTATTTTGAATGTTTTTTTATATTACAAAACCATTTTATACAACCATGTTTTGTAATAATTGCATAATCAACATTTAATTTGAAATTTGGAGATCATAAATTTAATACTGTATCAAGTATAAGTTTACTATTTTTAAAAGACTAAAGATGCTCTTAAGGATACTAAATTGTAATTTGGTATAATTTTCAACAGAAGTACACAAATCCTTTCTTCAAATTACTTCAAACCTTCACTTTTTAATTTAGCTAGAAGCAGGAATATGCCTCAAATCAACAGAAATTTCTCAAATAATTTTAATATCTGATACTTCATTGATGTCACATAAGTTTGTCTTTGTGAAATATATATGGTTGTTACATAAAACAAAAAAGCAAAGAATGCTTAGAATGACTAATGTTTGCAAATATACATAGCAAGCTCTCAGGGAAAATCCAGTAACTCAGGATATATTGTTTCATCATGTAAAAAGTATCAATAATATTTGTGCCTTTTGGGGGAAAATATGTATAAAATCATTTTAGAAAGCAAAATGTTATTTCTTGAATGATATTTTTACATTTTTCCCAAAATCTTTTGATGTTGATTTTTTTCAAGTTCTCTGAATTTGTCATGATTGTAATTTTGTTAATGACTACAATGAATACCTCTTGTTTAATAAAACAATGAATATATTGTCTAAAAGTACAATAGAGAGATGTAGTAATGAACTATGAGTCAAAATACTGATATCTTCCTCTCTGCGTGACTGATTAAATATTACCTTACATTTGATCTTTTTGTATTAAAATACCTAACGTTTCTTCTAGTAACTCTGCAAGTATTATATAAACTAAAGACATCTAAAGTATTTGAAAAATCAAGAAATAAAGATGACAGGCCGAACACAGACATTGTAGATGAGGATCCGTATGCCATTCAGATCATCTCCTGGTGTCCAGAAAGCAGAATGCTGTGCATAGCCGGAGTTTCAGCTCATGTCATTATCTATAGATTCAGCAAACAAGAAGTCATTACAGAAGTCATTCCGGTAATAACCTCTCAATTATTTTCAGTGTCAGATGTTGAAGAGAGGGCTATTTGCTGTCAGTTCTGTCTAGAGTGTTTGAAAACCTCAGTATTTGTATTATTGCCATTTACCTTTTGTGAAAATAATTTATTGTGTATATCTTTGTGCTGAACAGTTAAATCCTTAAGTGCATTATATGTTTTATTGGGAAAGCTAATACGAGTGTACTCTAATTTTTTAACATAAATTCTAAAATGATGCACACATTTTTACAGACTGAGTCAGAAACATTTTCTTTGCTAAATACATTAGAAATTTTGCTAAATGTTTACCTTAAAAATGTCCTTTCTGGGCCTCCCCGGTAGCGAGGTGGTTGAGCGCTGGGTTGAGAGGCTGCCCGCAGCCTCTGCACCGCGGGTTCGATCCCCGTCCACCGGGCTAGGGTCCCACATGGTGCGCAGACCTCTCCTACTGCCCGCTGCTCACCTCAGCAGTGTACTTCAGTCCTTCTGCCTGTTCTGCCTCCTGCTCTGGCTCTGGTGAATTCTCTCACCCTCCCACACTTCTGACTATACCCAGTGCTTGTATGAATAAATAAATAAATCTTTAAAAAAAATGTCCTTTCCATTGAAATATATTTGTATAGAAACTATAGTAAAATGAGTGATAATTATTAGGAGTAGGTAAACTGTCTTATTTTTACAACAGATGCTTGAAGTTCGATTATTATACGAGATAAATGATGTGGAATCCCCAGAGGGCGAACAGGCACCACCTTTGCCCACACCAGTAGGAGGTGCCAATCCTCAGCCTATTCCTCCTCAGTCTCATCCATCTACCAGTAGCAGTTCATCTGATGGGCTTCGTGATAATGTCCCTTGTTTAAAGTGAGTTATTAAAAATATGGATGTTTTGGTTATTATCTTTCAATTTAGATATAAATAGTAAATATTAATAAAACTGCAGCAACATTTTCCATTTTGACAGATTGAAATGGTATAAGAACATATCTTTCTGTGTCTTATTGTGGTTGCCCATCTCATTTTCTGTGGCATTATGGGGAGAATATAACTGCTTTCCAATATTTTATCCTTAAAATACTAAGGTTTGATCTCCACACATATTGGTAGACCAGCTTGATTTTTTCATCTTTTTATAGCTAAATCCACCAATATTTTAAGTCTTGATTTATATGTACATAAAATTTGTATTTAGACTGCTTTCTACTACTCTGAATTTTTTTTCCATTTTAGAAAGTATCTCTTTGTGTGTGTGTGAATCTTCTCTGGCATCACAATATCATTATTTAAGTAACTTTTTTGTAGCATCGCAAATTTGAATATATCTTGCTTTTATACAAAATAAGGTTTATCTTTTCAGTTCAGTTTGTTTTATTGAGTAGTAAGGGTATAAGCTTTATTTGTGGCAGAGAAATGAAATATCTGTGAGTAAAGACTTAAATTGTTAAAAAATTTCATGAAGACTCTGATTAAAGGTGTTAATTACATTTATAGAGATATCAGTTAAAGGCTGAAAAGTTTTGGAAAATGTCAGAGATTCAAAAGAACAGTTGAGGGCAAAAGTCAGACATAGGTTCAACAGAGAGGGAGGAAGTGTGGTAAGAGAATTGTCATTTGCTAAAAGTAGCAGTTTTATTGTTTTGCTTTAGGTCTGCTAAAATCACTTTTAATGGTAGTTTGACAATTGCTATGGAGAATGTTTGTATAATCAAAAGTGCATTTACTTAAAAGATAAGGCAGACCATTTTTTAATATCACAATCATTTAAGAATATACAGGATAAAAATCTTCTTTATATGTTTGTATAAATTTAAAATTGTGTGTTCTTTGTCAGTATTTCTTCAAACAGGGATGATTGGTTCCTCAGGACGCAGTACCTAGAGACATTTTACAATAGTTGTCACATTGGGCTCCTGGTGTGTAGAGGCCAGGGATGAAGCTAAATGTCCTGAATTGCTCGGGGTGCATCCCACAACAAAGTTCAAAATGTCAGTGGTGCTACGGATGAGAAACTGTGATTTGATCTAAGCAAATATAGCCCTTAAGAATAAGCAGTTACAGGGCCTCCCCTGGTGGCGCAGCGGTTGAGCGCTGGGCTGCGACGAGGCTGCTCTTAGCCTCTGCAGCGCCGGTTCATTCCCCCGGCTGCCGGCAAGGGTCCCACCAAAAAAAAAAAAAGAAAGAAAAAAGAATAAGCAGTTATATTTCTCAGAAGGTCTCGAGTTTCTACTCTTTCCCTCCCCTGTGTCTTCTGTCTCTGCCTTTGCCATTCTCTTATGTACAGGCACCACAACACTCAGTTGCTCCAGTTCTGTACACATCCAGCGAGAATAAGACTTGGAAATACAGAACGATACATTCTTCACTGTTGTTACTTATTCAGTACTACTTTAAAAGAAATTTGCAGAATTTCCAATGCATTTTCTTGTGATTTCAATATGTATTTTTCCAGATTTTGGTGAAATTTAAGTTTAAAGCATATAAAGTACAATTTGTCTCTGAAGTTTATTTTGGTAACAGGTTTTTGAGATTTTTGTCTAAAATCCACATGTTCCTAGTCACTTTTTTTTTTTTAATCACAGACAGTGTGAATTACACCTTATTTTTTTTTTGCCTTTTGAATAGTGTTCAGGTAAGTGCAGTTATTTATTACCTTCACAATGTTTTAATTCACAGTCCCAAAAGCCAATTTTTGAAAAGTCAGGTATAAGCCAAATTGACGTTAAGATAAATAATACTGAGATTTTGTTTTTCCTGCAAAATCCCTTTTTACATAATTGTTTCAAAGAGACATTTTTCAAGCAGCTATTTTACTTACCCCTTTACAAATAGCATTTTATGTTATTAATCATAATAGTTGTACTTTCTAAGGTATTTGTCCAAACACCGAGACATACACATTTTTGAAACTATGGAGCCACCAAACATTTTGACATTTAGAATACATTCGTACAAATTACAGAGATTTTCACAAAGGTTCATTAACCCCTTAGCTTAAAAAAAGTACAAATTAATTTACATGTGTTCAAGATATTAAAATAACTTGCATGTAACCATTATAGACATAAAACATAACACCCACCATTCCCCATGTTTTATTTTTAAAATCTAACAGTCTTTTTTTGATCTGGTTTCTATTTCTTTCTTTCTTTTTTTTTTTTTTTGACCAATTGGGGATTGTAGCAGATTTAGCTGACTTATTTTTGCTTAAGGTTTTTTTTTTTCACAATAACTAAGAATATCGTAAGTTTTCTGTTCTTTGTCACTTAAGTCTTAAGTATGCTCATATATGCCCTTCTAAAATTATCCCTGAATGCCTGTTTCTCCTCTTGAGAAACTAAATCTTAAATGCACATTAAGTATGCCAGAAGGAGGGCGGACAGAAAATAGCACAGCCTTCAGCCTTTGTCAACACAGGCTGTCTCTGGGTATAGATGAAATGTTACTTGGTCTTTATTTATGCCTCTTGAGAGGAACAACTGCCAACTGCACCTGATAAGTAGGTGTTTTCATGAGAAAACACTGTAAACTTCTGTCCCACCAGAGTAAGGTTCTGAGTGTATCACCCTGCAGACCCTGTACAAGAAGAAGTGACTATACTCAGTTCATACAAGAACACCCTCTGACTCATGGTCACCCTGAATGCAGACAACATGCTGATTCTTTCCTCACCTGCAGTTAGTCTAGCAGATGTGTCAGCAAAAGCTCAGGCGTCATAGCCCTCACTAGCAGTACCAACAAAATGATTTAAAGGGTTCGTATACCAAATTTGGTGTCAAGAGATTTGACATCGAGGAGCCTTCTGCTGCCTTCCTCATATACTGTCACCCTAAGGCAGAAGCCTAAAGAATTGATGATGTAAAAAGGCTTTTTATGTTTTATAAGAACCAGTTATTAGAGACTCTGTGTAATCAAATATATTCTCACCTAAAAGACACAATGGTTTATTTTTTCACAATAAAAGTAGTCATGCACACAAATAAGTTGCTTACACTTTTTTAAAAAAAGTTATGTTCCAGATCCTCTTAAAGTTTACTGATACAAGTATTGCAAGTGCTATACTGTGCAGTAACTTGATATCTTAGAAAGTACTCTCTCATGAAACCCTTCTAACTTCCCTAACATGCTTAGAATATGTTCAAGTTTTACTCAGTTTAAGTGAGGTGTGAGAATACATTTAACTGTTCATGAGCAGTTGACTTGAAGACCCAACAATCACCCTAGATTTTAGTCTTTCAATGTGGGTTTCTTCTTATTTTGTTTGAATGTTTTGCAAATGCAGTATTTTTTTAGCACTATTGAGCAATTATGGAGGAAAGATTCTTTGCAAAAAAAAAAAAAAAAATCCACTCAAGGTCAGTGGTTTTTTAATGGTAAAAGTGGTCGCACACAAAAATAAACTCACTTTTGTTTTTAGCCAGTATTTATTTGATCACCATATTTTCAAGTTTCAAGTCTACTTTTCTAACTTGAATTTTTCTTATATTTTTCCCTCTTCTTAATTCCTTGACTGCCACTTCTTTTCATCCTTTTTCCCATTCCTCTTCCTTCCAGTCGACTTCTTTCTCTCTTCCCTGCTATTCCCCCATTCTCCTTGGAACTTACATATATGATTTCTTACTTTTGTTATTTATGTACGTATTCTGTCTCCCAACTAGATTAAGTGCTTCTAGAAGATAGGATTCTGGTTTTCACAGTTTGTATTTCTAGCTTAATTATATATATATATATATATATGTATATGTATATATATTTTTTCATGTAGTTATGCATGATTTTATAATTGCATAGACTAATGACAATTGACAAATGTTAAATGATAACATGTTTTCCTTTATTACAGAGTTAAAAATTCTCCACTTAAGCAGTCTCCAGGTTATCAAACAGAACTAGTTATTCAGTTGGTATGGGTAGGTGGAGAGCCACCACAACAAATAACTAGCCTGGCAGTCAATTCTTCCTATGGATTGTAAGTACAATTTATGTGTTTCTCAGTCTTCATAGTATTCCATACATTGTTTTATTTTTAAAAATAGAAAGGAGGGCCTCCCCTGGTGGCACAGGCGGTTGAGTGCTACACTGTGAAGCTGTCTGCAACCTCTGCAGCACAGGTTTGATCCCAACCGGCTGGCCGGCGAGGGTCCCACATAGCGCAGCAGACCTCTCCTGTCTCGCTTGCTGCTCCCCTCAGCAGTGTATTTCATCAGTCTGCCTGTTCTGTTCCCCCCTCTGACTGTGGTGGTGAATCCTCTCACCCTCCCACACATATGGCCGTAATGTACCCCAGTTCTTGTATAAATAAATAAATAAATCTTTAAAAAAAATAGAAAGGATAATCCTTATTATAGTATCATTTAAAAAGTTGTATATAACTTTAATTTCAGACCAAATTCAATTTTTGTTTGGAACAATTCTGTTTGGAATAATTTACTCTGGATATGCGTATATACTATTTGTTGATGTATTGTTAATCTCTTACGGATCAATTAGTTGTTTAATAATAAGATAAAAGTTTAGGGGAAGGAAATTCTATGGGGACTCAATCTGAGGGGGTGGAGGGAAGCAAATATTGTCTAAAAAATGTAAAAAATGATAAATGTTAAAATAAAAAAATCAAAAAAAAAAAAACAAAGATAAAAGTTTAAAGTCTGTATATTCTCTCCTGGCTATAGAGTTAGAAATAAATTCGTTATTAATAGTCAGTATAATACAGGGCTAACAATATCAACCCAGAAGACTGTGTTCTAAACTGACTTGTAAATGCTGAACCAGATTTATATAGTTGTTTTTTTTTCCTAATTCCTAAGTTAAATTGCATAAATTATAAAGACATAGTCACAGTTAATAAAGTATTCTACTACAAATTTATTTATCAGTTTAGGCCTTTAAGTATATAGTGTTAACAGTACATAATTTATATTATAAATTACAGTCTTCTAAAGTATTTAATTTTTGTTTCTTTTAAATACTCACATAGTCCCTCTATACCTTTTGTTTTTCAATTCTTGACATTAAATCTTAAAAGAATAACATTGCTACATTGCTTTATTCATAGTTGCGTGGTTTGTAGTTCCTGATTCATAGTTGAGTACTCAAAAGTGAGACCTCCAAGATTATGCTTTCTACTTTTGTTCCTAACTGAGGGATTACTAAAACTTCCCTCAAGATATAATCCCCTACTTCCTTAGTAGAAAGGAATGTCTTCCCCTGAGAGACTCAGAATCTCGCTGCAGAAAAAATAGACTTCATGTCATTAGTGTGAGGGATTTGTATCTCTCTGGTCAAATTTCAGCTCCTATATAATGATACTCATTTATAGTCTTTGTCAATAAATACTATATCAGGAGATCTATTCTACCATGAAAAGGCATGCATAATGTGTATTTCCACATCCGGGATAATCTTTTGTTTCAAAGACTCATCATACTTCTGCTTTAGCCTGGCAGACTACAGTAAATTTTCCTCTAACTATTCATTTGTACTAAAAGACTTGCTTTTTTCTTATTCCCAGGGTAGTTTTTGGCAATTGTAATGGCATTGCTTTAGTGGACTACCTGCAGAAGGCTGTACTCCTCAACCTGGGCACTATTGAGTTATATGGCTCTAATGATCCTTACCGGAGAGAACCCCGGTCTCCACGTAAATCTCGACAACCTTCAGGAGGTAAAAAGAAAGATTATTCTGAGCTTCAGGATTTCTATAACTGCTCAGTTTCTTCTGTAAATATAAATACAATTGGTGAATTGTTTTTCTGATTTAGTCTATGTATGTATGGGCTAAAAGGCATGTGACTGAGTTTTCGTTTTGTATTACTAGTTTTTTTTGTTTTTAATATTGTAGGATTTTATGTAATAATGGAAAAGAGTCACAATATCAAACTTTAGTGAAGTTTTAACAGAAAAATTTGTCTCACATTATTACAAAATGAAAGTTAATTTCCAATTTTTCTCCCTTTATTAATTGATAGTGTGAAAACAATAATTCATTGTTCCAACTATTTAATTCAAAAGACTGTGTTTCCCGAGTGAAAAAAAAAATTAGGTGCAAAAGTAAATTTGAATAGTATGAAAATATGGTGTCCTCAAGATAGCCTTGATACAGTGCAAACCCAGATACACTATGAATGGTCTATACCATTCTCTGTGTTTGTCAGATAATTAATCTTAATTGTAAAAGTATTAACATTAATAGGTTATAGAACACATGTATAGTTAGCTGTTGATACCAGTATTCCTCATTTAAAAAGAAAATGAATAAAAAATAATAATAAAAAAAAAAAAAACTTCATACCACAGGTGGCAAGGGCACTGGCTCTCCGGCACTGGGTATGGTAAGGAGTGCTCCCCCAGCAACCAGCCTGGGCTCCAGTCCCCCAGGACATGTGCAGGGACTGAGGGGAGCACTGGCTTGGGCAGACTTAACCCATTAACAGAATGCCAGTGTGCAGGGGAGCACGGAAAAGTTCTGGTCTGTACCTCCTGCAATTCTCCCCGAGGTTCATTTTCACTTGTTTTCAGGATGTGATTAGCTCATCCTACCTGTATCACAGCTCATGAAAGAAGAGGAGAAAGAGATGGGATATAGACCTTACTCTCACCGTGGCTGGCTAGTTGAATTTTTTTTTTTTTCCATTTCTCATCGTATGTGATCATTCTGTCATGTGATAGATATCTTCAGAAATTGTTGTCCCAATCATGCCATTCTAGTATCTTCGTTTCCTTTTCTTTCTTTGGCTTCTCACTGCTTCACTGAGGTGCGCTGATTGTGACTTCTTGCATGTGCAGCTTTTCTGGCTTCTATTTTGAATTTGTGGAAAAATGTCATTCTTTTTTTACTTTTTTAAGTAAGTTATTTTTCCATGTCAATAAAGTCATAACATGTTTATTTTTTTGTCTGTAGAAATAGTTTTTCCTCATTTATTTTGAAAAGATATTAATGAAAACATTTCTATATCTAAGTATATACATAGTATTAGAAAGTTAGTACACTGTCATGATAATAATGAAGTTTTTGGAGGAATGGGTAAATACTTTATTTTACCCAAAATTGTACTAAAAAATTTATTTCTCCTAAAATTAGTTCATGGCTTTTTTCCCTTAATACCTCATTATAGTTTACATAAATTTGCTAACAATTAAATATCCTACATTTATTCAAAGATAGAACCAATTTTACTATTGGTATACCTAAGGTTAAGAGATTTACCTATTGTTATTATGCCCAATTTGACAATATTTAGGATTTCATTTGAAATAGAAATAAAAAGAAAGTTACTTTTATTTTTCTTTTTTTTAACTTTTTTACTTTTTTTTATTTTTTGCATCATTGTTCATTTTTAAACAATATTTGCTTCCTCCCACCCCCTCAGGTGTAGTCCCCATAGAGTTTCCTTCACCAATACACCCGTGCACCCGTGTACCATCACCTCAGTCCCCTGTGCTCCTCCCTCCTCCTCTGATCCCTCTCTCTCCTCCTCCCCTGCAGTATGTCTCTGATTTATAATTGTCTGTTAAAAAGAAAGTTACTTTTAAATATGTGTAACATGTGAAGTATATTTATACTGTAATTCTAAAACATTTTTATATTTCAAATAAAATTAAATGTGGAACAATTGGCACTAAAATTTTTGAGTTGCTTTGATATAAAAATAATATTCCTACTAAGGTATGTATTTTATAACGTGTCCTTGAAGTGTAGTTCAAATTGTTCAGCTTTTTTTTTAATAGATCAAATAGTGGACAAAAAATTTTGCTATTAATGGATACTACATTTTCATAAAGATCAGGTGTGAAGTTGTAAGAAAAACATTACTGTTTGCTTTAATGTTTTATAGTTCTATTGAAGTTGAACTGTTGACTAAAGTATATACAATGTTTTCATAGTAAACATTATGAAACTACAACAGGACAAGTAGTGATAAAATATTTCAACTGCCTGTTTATCTGCTGAAAGTCTAGTTCTACTGCAAGTGAAACCTAAATAATGTATGTCATCTTTTCACTCAATGAAGGGCAGACACATCAAGGGAAATTTCTATGCTGAATATAATTCTAAACCCCAAATAAGATACAATGGGAAATTTCTGTACTGAATATAATTCTAAACCCCAAATAAAATATAATCAGTGATGTGAAAGTGATGAACACGTGAGAAACAGCAGTTATAAAGAAGGTTATTAGAGGCATAAAGCTGTATCTAGACTATGGGAAAGAACCTTTCATAAGTTATGAAGAGGAGGCTCTAAAAATGAAGGTTTTTTTTCGGTTATACAATTACTTTCAATATTTCTCTTTGGGAAGTATGACAATTAATAGAGAATGGCTAGAATCTAAGCCATTAAGTTAGTAAGATAGAACAAGCAATAATTAAAAGATAACAAGAGTACCCAGGTGATGAAGGTCAGCTATCTTACTTATCAGTACAGTTAACATACAAATTGTAGAATGATTTGCTGGGTAACTGATATGCCCTAAATGTTTCTTCCTAGGCTATTTTAAGAATGGAAATTATATTACATAGTACTTTTTTATAGTGTTTATTAGCAGATGATAAAATACTAAAGACTTAAAATTTCAGAATTAGTTATTTTTATGCAGTGCTAGACACATTGTGATACTGGAGTATATTAGCATTACTCTGTAAAGACTGGCTAGCTCAGTGTTCTCTCAAGGAAACATTGATTTTCACATAAACACATATTTTCCTAGAGGTTACCTACAAACCTTTCATTTTATCAGTCATTTTAGAACTATAATAACTAGGGTTTTTTAAGAACCTTTAGTTTAATGAAAGGTTTATAAAAAGTAATAAACATAACTGGTTTTTACTCAACTTCCTACCCATTGAAGACAAATAATATGTAACTCAAAATAGAAAATTTCTTATAAGCCCCGTTAAATACTAAGTGTTCTCTGGAAATGTTCCTGCAGAAGACAACGTGTTTGTCACCCAAGGACTAGGAGAGCAGATACTGGTCATGTGCGCATTTGTCAGTGTGATGCCTCAGTCCTCAGGCCTAGATGCACAGCCCCTGTTTGCTGCCCAGGTGGCCCTAAATATTGATGTGGTTTTTTATTTCTAATTTTTAAAGAATTAATAGTAACTCTTTTCATTTGTCATGACTTTCAGTTCTTGTCTACAGCATAAAATACCTTGCTATGGTTTCTCCTAAGAAGTTAACGCCATCCTATAAGATAGATTGATTTTATATAATGTATGTATCTGTGGGTATGTGTGTGTGTGTGTGTGTGTGTGTGTGTGTGTGAAAAGAAGTATCTTTTTAGAGCTCTTTACAAGGTGTGATGGTATAATTTATGAGAGATAAAACCCTACAAGATGAGTAGTGTATGCTATTTTAAATACTGCAAATTTAGAGAAACAATATTTCTTAATTATTCAGAATATAAGAGAGATATTTGAGACATACCTAGGGGAAATCACTTTCAGTTTGAGTTTTGGGGTCCTTTGATGTAAATATGACCAAATTATTGCAGCTATTCTCCTGCAAGAGAATATCCAATGATTGAACAAGATGTCTATCACACTCCTTCAAGGTACTGGTTTTAACAAAGTCCTACATTATGCCTAATGTTCTTGAAGGATAGCAAATTACCTGTCTTGGAATTTGTTTTTTAACTAGTAAATGTTGTATTAGTTTGAGATATTTTAATATAAATATGCTTTTATGTTCTTATCTCAAAACTAATAAGCAGAGTATCAATGTTAGCAAGTGTTGAATTAATCTGCTTTTTTTTTTTTCAATGCATGCCAGTGAAATGTGTACTCTAAGTAGGAGATAAAACTGCACTTATATAAATGTGTGTTTTGATTTGGTTTTGGGTTTTGTTTTTTAGCAGGTTTGTGTGATATTAGTGAAGGAACTGTTGTCCCAGAGGATCGCTGCAAATCTCCTACTTCTGGTAATTTTTTATTTTATCAGTAGTTATAATTCTACAAAGCCCAATATAGCATATTAGTATTTCTTTCTGGAGATAAACGTTTTAAGTACATTCACAGGGAACTTTTTTTTCTACAAGGATTTTTGTGTGATATATTTATTCTTGTTGCATTCTCATTAAGTGAAAAGAAATACAGTTTGTGCTAGATAAAAATCTACAATTATATTATTGCCTGTTAAAGAATCCTAAAACTATTTACTTAACTTTCTAATATTTATACTTTTTATGGAAAATATATTTTTCTCCTTAATTTTAGATCAAATGGTTTAGTTCTCTATAATTTTATCTCCACTTTAGGCATGCTGGCATTATGCAGAAAATGGGATTCTAACCCTTAAGTTATGTCTATTTAAGTGTTATAAAAGATCATTAGCACTTATAATCTAATGGTGATTCTAGATAACTAGAATAATTGTAGATTAGTTTTGTTTGCAGTTTTTGATCCAAGTAACATCTGATGTAATTTTATAACTTTCTTAAAGCAGTTCTTTTGTCCAAAAATAGGTCTTTATATGACTTATGTATATATTGATCAGAAGAACATACTTTCCAGTGGCTTTTGAAACCCCTTAAAATTAAAGAGGTTGCCAAATTCATTATTTTTTAGTAGATCGAAATTTTGGTAATCTTTACACAGATTTTGATCCTACCGTAAATAGTTTTGTTACATCAAAAACAATTAAGAATGGCAAATATTGGAGAAGTGCATTTTACTTTTATTCATTCAGATTTCAAAGCTTTTGTTAGATCTGGAAGCTTTTCTTATGAAAATTGCATTTTCCTGATAATATACTAATCATTTCTTTAAATGCATCTCTGGTTTTTGTAAATTTCATATTTATGTACACTCATTAAACTAATAAAACATAAGGAGCCATGAGCACTAATTAACAACTTAAATCTGAACATTTGTAGACTAAAGTTTGAATGAATAATATGGAGCAAGTAAGTATATTTTTCATCACGCAAGAGTAGAGACTTACTTCTGAACTAGGAATTTAGAATTATAGTATCTTTCAGTATTGCTACTGCTCCTTCAATTATTTACAGTGTTGTCCTGAGCACCTCACCTTCCCTTAATGCCATGTGAATGCAGTTGTCAGTGTGTTAAGGCTGTGACCCAGACTGAATCATTTGAACATATATTATCTTTTAAATTAAATGGCCATCAAAAATATTTTAACAAGATTTAGTCCAAATAAATTAATATTCCTTTTTATTGTCAGCCAAGCTTTCATTAAGTATATAGACTTAGAAATTTGGAATAAACTAAATGAGGTAATTATAGATAAGTTTATTTAATCCTAAATGCATAAATGTAAAAAGTACATGAAAGTAAAATCTCTTCAAATTTTTTCTTCTCAATATTGAACAAACTCAATTTCAGGTCAACGTTGTCAAATATTTTACACTCTTTGGTCCACATGAAAAGACAGTATGATGTAACATGCAAAACTTTATATGACACTCGGTCTTTCATTGTTTCTCACTGAGCTCGAAATGCAAAATAAAACTTGTGAGGTCAGAAATCATTGATAAATCACAAATTCTTATCTTCAAATATAAAACTCTTAGTTTATTTAGTTTTTATTATACCCTGAAAGATATAAGAATTCTCCAGAGATCTGTATCCATTTGCATATTAGTAAATACTACTTTGACCAAAAAACAGTTCAGACTTTAATAGACAGTAATAGCATGAAACATGTCATGCTGAAAACTAAAAGCATTACAATAGAAATTGGAATAAAATTGTGGAAGACTATCCTTTTGATCCTATGTTCTTATAGCTTATTTGTACTTTTATATGTGTCCATTTAGTTAACTGTTAACTATTAAATAAAATTATTAATAGTAATTTTAGCTATCTGTCATAGGCCAGTTGTGTTACTCTTTGCACGTTTATGACTTTTTGCCTTCAGTTCTTTTAGCATTCTAATAAGAAAGTAAAGGAATGATTTATTAATCATTGTCATCAACACAAGCAAATTCTAATTTAGGATGGTTAAAAAAGAAAAATGGATGGGGTGTGTGTGAAGTGAGTCTGAAGAGCCACCAGGAGAGCATGCTATTAAAGCTATGGGAAATAGTAATTTAATTAGTAACCTCAGATATTTTCTGCAGTGCAAGGAGAAATGAGTAATAACAATATAAATTAATAAAATCAGTTTAGCTAATAGAAAACAATGTTTGTATTTGAGGAAGAAGAAATATGCTTAAGTGGGTTGGAAGTTCAAATGAGCCCCTTTATAAATGCTAAGATGAGGACCAAATAAAAAATGGTCATATGCTCTTTATCAGAATCAATGTGTTTACTCAGTAGAACAGGTTATCAGTGAAGAGAAACTTTTTGAAAAGCTTTTAAATGCCATAATCAAGGTATGTGTTCGCAAAAGTATAGCTAATTAAAGCTGTATTCAAAAATCATCCTGAGGAAATCCAGGTAGTTAATATACTTTGTCCTTTCCATTTGTTTATAAAGAAACCAACAGTCTCTTTGAAATAGAAAATTAGTTCTGCCCCGTCCTGAATTAACAGTTATTTCTGCCATTTCCTTTTAATCTTTATTTAAAAAAACTCATTGCTTCACTGAATATCTTAGTAAATGTTGGAAATTATTCTGTTCTGCGTCCAAAAAAAGATACACCCACATACACTATAAATGTTAAAATGACAAAAATATTTGTTAGGTTATTTCAAATTGAAAAAAGTCCAGGACCACACAGACTGTAATATAAATGTTGAGTTCAGGAATTGACATGTACTTTAGGAAAAACAAAAAGCTGTCTATAGTGCCTGTGTTTATTTAGTCATAGTGATGTGGTTAAATATACGCAAGTAGGATTGCTAAAAACCGCTTTGGAACTTTTCAGTAAACTTTCACATAAGTCATGAAAGCTAGTGGTGGGCATTTTCCATGAGAGGAAAAATAAATATCCTGGTTTTATTTATATTTACAGCTTATGTTGCTTGTTTATATGTTGAAAATGCTAAGCATTTTTATAACTTTATATTCATGTTTAGAGTTATTATCCTGGTATCTTTAATATGAAACATATTGAAACAAGTAATGATAAATTTTTGCATATTTGTGTTGCTGTTTAACACCAGGGATGAGTGATATTTTAAGATCTATATAACCTATCTATTATCTTTAAATATGAACTATGATGAAGAAAAATACCTATTTCTAATCCTGAAAATGTTACTGAGCTCAATATTACTTATGTGATATTTTTGATAAAGAATTTTTCAAGAATTTATGCCATTTAGCAAAAATAACTTGGTATTTAAAACATAAGCTTTTAAGACTATTGTGGAAGTAATTGAAATTCTACCAATGGTGGCCTGTTTTATCTGATCTGAGAAGAGACTTCAATGGGTATTTTCATCTGGTCAAAGAAAGAATGATTTTGATGGTGGGAGAGGAAAAACCAAATTTTGACCTTATTCATTAAGATTTTATTGGGATAAAACAAGAAAAAGAGCACATGAAAATCTTATTTACTTCAGCTTGTTTTAGGTATTTGCTTCTAGCCAAAAAGCTTTATATATTTAGCAAATATTTACTTAGAGATTCCTACATGCAGAGCACTCCACTGAATGCAAAGGGATGAAAGATGAGTCAGTCAACTTTTCTGTTAAGTCCTGTGGCAAAGGTCATGTATGTATAAACTTAAGACAGTATATATTGAGTGGTTAACATCATAAAAGAAGTGTACAGATAAAGTGTTGTGGGAATTCAAAGGAGGGGGAATGATTTATATTTCGGGAGAATGAAACATTTAATGGATGTGTTATCACTCATGTGCTATGAAAAATAGATAATTTGACTAGTAAAAGTTAGCAACTAGAATACTAAGGACTACATTTATAGTGAAACTTTTGTGTTAAAAATTAAAGGAATACTATGAAAATTTAGAAATACTTTTAAATTTAGGTAATGGGCAAATAAAATCTTAATTATAAGATATTAACTTACTAGAAGTCACAACTAAAATAAAATTTAATATCACCTCATTAAATCTAAATAAATATTTAAAGCATCTAAAATTGTAATTATTATCCTCTGTATTTTAAAGATCTCTGTAGTACAGAGCAGAATTTATATATGATTTTAAACTTCGTATCAAGAAAGCTAACTCTACAATTAACTTACAGTATAGTATAAAACTTGTACTATACTGTATATTCACAGTATAGTGCTTATACAGGAATCTTGTTCTAGATAAACCATCTTTTCATTTTTCTAGGAGACAGTTAATTAAATGCTACTTGTATTTTTATCTGTTTTATGACATATAAAAGAATTTGCCAAATGGTTAGAACTTAAGGAAAAATTGGTTAATATTTATATATACTACAGATTGCTAGTCTTATAAAAATTGCTTATAAGAATTGTTAATGAGATATATGAGATTTCATTGTGAACAGTAGTCTAGAAACTTGTTTTAAAGGTTACCAGATTATTGTGTTTGATCTTTTCCATGTGACAACTCTGTGTTTGTGACTGACAATGTGCCTGTTCCTTCCGTTGTCTTCGTTTGTGTAGGTTCTTCATCACCACACAATTCAGATGATGAACAAAAAATGAATAATTTTATAGAAAAGGGTATAGTATCTTATTTTAAAGTATTTTCTTTATTTATATTTAATTCATTTAGTTTACTTTGAATAGATTTTTGACATTTTATATCAAAATATTATTTTCAGTGAAGACCAAAAGCAGAAAATTTTCCAAGATGGTAGCCAGTGATATAGGTAGGAAATAGAAATTTCTATTTTGTTTCTAATCCTTGCTTTACGCAATGCTAACTCAACATCAAAAAATAATCTAATGCATTGCATCATATATATTAATTTATATTCCTATGCTAAACAATAATCTTTCGGGTTATGTTTCTTCTAAATTCATTGGAGCAATAATTATTAAAAATCAGTTAAATTGGGGATGCAGTTCTTCCTCTGACTTCCAGTGTGAATTGTTCTAATTTTTATTTTTGCTTTATTTTAAAATAAAACTGGGTTCAATTTATGCCACAAATAGTATAGGTTTTATACTCCCAAATTTTTAAATATTTTTCTTTATAGTTTTATTTGTATTTTTTTTTTTATTTTACTATTATCTCTCTTCATATTTTCAAGCCCACAAATTTCAAGGAAATGGTTTCATATGAGACTGTCTCTTTTAGTGTATAATCTGTACTGCCCTTGACTTATGGAACTTTCATACAACTCTCCTTCCAATAAAAATGAGTGATAAAAATATTTTCTATCAATCCTCTTGATTGTTATTATGAGTATTTTTTTTTTTAATGAATTACTCAGCCCAAGGTTCTCGAACTTTTAAGCCTGGGAGACAAAATATGTAATTGGGAATATAACTGAATTCGGGTTTTTGGTCATAAACACCTCAATGTTCTCTGAAGATTTTTCAAGACTTAAAAAATACCATTTTACTTAAAGAATAAATGTATTCTTTAATTTAAATCCATACTTTTTGTTATGCAGTTATTACTAATTTTCCAAAATTTACTGCCACACATTCCTTGACTTGTATATATTAGATGAACTATAGAAGGCTGGAATTTTCAATTTTTTTTTCCTTTTCTCAACTAAGCTTAATATATAGTAAAGTTAAGTTTCTTAGAAGTAACACCCATATTGTCTTCATGTTGTAAATTGAACCCTGTTTAGTCATATTAACATTGGCTGACTGTTATAAGCATTTCTTGTCTTTTTTTTAAATAAGTTTTTTTTTTTTTTTCCCTTGGGCTAAGGGCTCTCCTCCTTTAAAGAGAATCAATTATTTGCCTCTTTGTAATTGTGGGGTGTTTAGTGATTCAGCTGGTAATGGTTAAATCACCTTAATTATGTACTAGTACTTTTACATAATAGTTTTTCAACAAATTTCTTTTGTAATTTATTTTATCTTAATAATACTTTATTCTTCTACTATAGAATGTGAAGCATTAAAGGGACTTTTATACCTATAATTTGACATAGAACTTTTAAAATGTAATTAGCTAGGGTTTTTACCTTCCATGGAAAGGACTTTATATATAATTAAATTTTTTGAATTATTTCTCTGATTGATTTTTTCATTCTGAATTTTATTGACTTTGTTAAATGCATTGACTAGCTTCCCATATTTTTCAGTGTTTTGAATAGAATATACACGAAATATATCTGAACTTGAATATTTAAAAGACTTCAGTTAACAGATTTACTATGAGTGAGAATGTTGTTGAAAGGATAATTCTGTTTTGTGTATAATGTTGTTTGGTTTTGGTTGGTATCTGTTAGTGTGTCACTTCTTGTAGTTTTTAGTTTACTACATTTACAGTTGAGTTTACAATACTGAATAGGTTTCAGGTGTACCTCAACGACTGTGTAAATCACACCACACCCCCTACCAAATGTCCAGTCACCATTCTCCACCAGTCACTCTGTGCCCTTTACCTTTGCCAGCCCCCATAACCCTTCCCCCAGTCCCAGTAACTACCATTCCATTGTGAAGGTATTGGGATTTGTTTTTGTTTTGTTTGTTCGTTTGCTTTGTTTCTTTATATTCCGCAATGAGTGAAATCATACAGTGATAATATTCTTCCTTCTCACTTGTTTCACATGTTTTGCAAATGGCAAGATTTCCTCTTGTCTCATAGCTGAGTTGTATTCCACTGTGTGTATAAACCACATCTTTTCTTCCTCTCATCTGCTGTTGGGCACTTAGGTTGTTACTGTGTCTTGGTGAGTTTAAATTGCGCTGCAGTGAACATTGGAGTGCATATATTTTTTTGAATTAGTGTTTTCATATTTTTCACTTACATGCCCAGAAGTGTGGTTACTGCATCATATAGCAGTTCTATTTTTAATTTTTTGAGGAACCTTCATACTGTTTTCCATAGTGACTGAACAAAAGTACATTCCCACCAGCAGTGTACAAGGGTTCCTTTTTCTCCACAGCCTCACCAACACTTGCTGTTTTATATAATAACCATTCTCACCAGTTGAGATGAAATCTCATTATATTTTTTACTTTCATTTCCCTTATAATAATTTTTATTCCCAAATCTATCTCAGGATATGTAATTGGGAAAGTTCATGTCTCAATTTTTCTTGACTCAGTGGAGGCAGCCCTATGTGAAACTGTAAAGTTTTTTCAGTTTAATAAAAAACACATCAATTTATCTCCCTATTTTAGTATCTAGTTTTGTAGTAAAACTTAGCATAACGTATGCTATTGAAAAACATAAAATGTCATTGAAACATTGGGAAAAAAATTGTAGAAATCCTGAAGGCCTGTTAAAACTGGCATTTTCCATTTGACACTTATGGCGTCAAGTGTGCTGGGATTGTTTGACATTTTAAGTTACGATGTTTCCTTTCATCAGTGCTATGCTTCTCCCGAACCTCATGAAAGTATCAATTCTTTCTGTTCAATCTATCAAGATTTATAACTTCAGTTTTACTTCCTTGTACAGAGGCCTAAGAAAGGAAGGTATAAGAATTTAGCCAAGGGCCTCCCTGGTGGCACAGGGATTAAAGTCTCAGTACTGTCAAGCTATCACCAGCTATTGGGCATACCCCAGCCAATGAACTACCCACATGGTGCAGCAGACCTCTCCTGCCTCGCCTGCAGCTCCCCTCAGCAGTGTATTTCAGTGTATCCGCTCCCCACTCTGTCGCTGGTGAATCCTCTCAACCCCCACATCTCTGGCCTACACCCAGTTCTTGTATGCATAAATAAACAAAATAAATCTTAAAAAAAAAACAATAATAATAATTAAGCCAACATTGACTCTGGTAAAAGAACCACTTGTGTGGATAATAATTAAGCCAACATTGACTCTGGTAAAAGAGCCGCTTGTGTGGAAGGCCAGCTCCCTTAGTTCCGAAACTTTGTTCCTAAATTTTACCTGTTGTTTGAAAATTAATGCTGCGGTGTCACATTAGGGAGAAGAAACAGTGCAAGTCACCATTCACATTTTAATACTCTAGCCCAGGTATGAAAAATCAACCCCCTCCTTGTTTTTGGTTGTTTTTTTTTTTTTTTTAAAGATTTATTTATTTATTTATACAAGCACTGGGTACAGTCAGAAGCCTGGGAGGGTGAGAGAATTCACCAGAGCCACAGCGGGGCGGGTGGCAGGAGAGGTCTGCGCCATGTGGGACCCTCCTCCGGTGGCTGGGGAGCAGCTGGGGATCAAACCAGCGCTGCAGAGGCTGCAGGCAGCTTCGCAACCCGATGCTCAACTGCTGCGCCACCTGGGAGGCCCCTTCCTTGTTTTTTAAATGTCCAATAGTACGGCTGAGATAGCTGAGACAATGCAAAATTTTTTTTTTAATGTAACTAGCAATTACAATATCCTGGCGCTGTGCTGGTCCTTTGTAAATAATTTTTCTCATTGAATTGATTTAGTAACTTCAGTGATCAATTTACTATTATTTTCCTATGTAACGGGTGAGGAAACAGAGTAAGTTATGGTTATATAGCTAGCACATAACAGCACTAGTGTTCATAGTCAAGTAATCCAACTCCAGTTTGTCTTATTCAACATTGTCTTGTATTACCTTGTAAGAAAATTGACTGTTATTTCCTGATTTACAAGTAACTCAAATAAATGGTACTAAAAGTAACTTCCTTGTTCTTAGTGCATAAGAACAGTCGCATAAAAAAGACGAAACGTAGTCTTGTGTGTTTAACAGCAAAAATCTAACATAATCCCTAAAGAAAGCTATATGCATGTAATACATAGTGATTTGTTTTTCCTGTTCATATGATTAATTTTTTTTAGTAAAACCTTCATGACCAGTATTTCCAAAATCTGCAAACTTACTTAATGTTAGCAGTTTCTATAAATTACTTAGAAAATAAGATTGGTTATTAATGTTTTATTTGCTCACTATTTCTATTTTGTAAAACTTTGAAAGTACAAAATTCTGTAAGGCTTTTTGTCATTTTAGGGTTGTATAAGAAACAACCCTAATATTTTAAGAAAATATTAGTGAAATTTGTCATGATATCCTTATTAATAAGCTATGGTTCACATACTGGCACTGTTCAGTAGATTTTTAAACTATATGATTCATCTTTCCTAAAGGTTGTTTTGTTTCATTATAATTCTTTTTCATGCTGAAATTAGATTTCTAGCTGGATAAAGTAGTTATAACCCTGCCTCTGTCCTATTTTGACTATTAATTTTTATACAAAAAAGAATGATTACCCAATTGATGACATAAGCTGGGAGGGGCACTTGGAGGAGGGGGGTGGGGATTGATACTACAAAATAAAAACAGATCGAATGAGTGCTGGGCCAAGCTGGAAATACAGCTTAGTTTCAAGGGTCCCTCCTCAGTTCTACACAGTATACTAAATATTTCTCATTTGATATTTGTTCATAGAGGGGGTGTTATACCTGCAGGACTCTTTTATCCTTTAAATTCTGAGTTACTGTTTACTTGGGTATAATGATTGATTTTCTTTCTTGGCAAAAACTGAAGTACTTTTTGAAGTCAATATAAATTAAGGTAATGTTCGTTAGTCCAGGTGCTTTTCTCATTCATCCCCTTTTACTATAGGAGTTCCAGTGATTTCTTTTTTTAGATGAAAATGTTCTAGCACAACTTACTCTATCTGTGTCGTTATATTCTAAATCACTAGCTCATTAGCTCACACTATTGTAAAGCAGCTCTCTAAACAGCTGTATTTCCACCATGTGTGTTAGTGCTCATGTTTGGTGACCTCTTTTTCTTGTGAT